CAGTATGCCACACAGACACATCCTAACATAAGTCTGGGTTTGTGTGAAGCTGGCCACAAGAACTGTGCCCTGAGATGCTCATCAACTTTTGGGTAGATCATAGAATCATAGAATGATTTGGGTTGGAAAGGACCTTAAGATCATCAAGTTCCAACCCCCTGCCATGGGCAGGGACTCTTCACACTAGACCATGTCACCCAAGGATCTGTCCGACCTGGCCTTGAACACTGCCAGGGATGGAGCATTCACAACTTCTCTGGGCAACCTGTTCCAGTGCCTCACCACCCTCACAGTAAAGAGCTTCTTCCTTATGTCTAACCTGAACTTCCCCTGTTTAAGTTTAAACCCATTCCTCCTTGTCCTATTGTTACAGTCCCTGATGAAGAATCTCTCTTCGGCATCCTTGTAGGCCCCCTTCAGATATTGAAAGGCTGCTGAGATCTCCATGCAGCTTCTCTTCTCCAGGCTGAGCAGCCCCAACTTTCTGTTTGGAGAAGATAAATAAGTACATGTGCTGCAGGTGCTTCTCTGATTGACGTGGCTGTCTCACCCTCTCCTGTGATGCCAGCTGGAGGATGTCATTTCTGTCCCTCTTCTGCAAGGATGCTGTGGAGTGTTAGCAGGACAGAGTGACTGCTGCTTCTGAGTAACAAGTGACTGATCATGATGGATGGTCTGTAAAGGACTTGTGTCCCCTCCGGATGGGAGGTGTCGTATATGGCTGCTTTTAAAGAAAATGTACTCTGCACTTTCATGTCGGCTGCAGACCCTGGTATTGTCCATATCAGCAGTGTGTGGGGATGAAGGTGGGCTGGCAAAGGATAAGGGGTTAAGGATGGTGGTGGGAAAGGTGGACTCTGCAGATGCACCCACTTGGAAGGGGTGGACATTCCGCTGGGCTCTGGGTGGATAGCCTCCAGCACTGGGGTGGTGATCTGGGGACCTCTCTCTGGTATTACCCTCATCTGCCTGGCTGCAAAAGGCTCTTCACTGGCAAGATGCAGCAGTCTCCCCTATCCTGTCTGCACCCTAGAGGTTTTCAGGAAAGAACTGCATGAGCACTGCAAAGGTCCCTTCAGCCCTCCCTCACCCGCAGTCTCTGGCAGCCCCTTTCTGCCCAAACCCCTGCTAAGGAGAGGAGGTAAGGAGCCAGAAGAGTGCTTTTTGTGGGGTGAGATGACTGCAGGACACCTTTGGCTGGCTTGGTCATGGCAATTTGGTCAATTGTGGCATTAGCAGTCCTTGGATGCCAGTTGCCGCCCTGGAGGAGAGCGTGTCTGAGCAGAGACCTCTCTGGGCAATGCACGCCAGGAGGTGACATCGGCCTCTGGGGACAGACACCCCCAATCTGAAGCACTCTTCCTGACTTCTGACATTTCCTCTTTTTTCTCCCAACCAATCTCTCCTGCTCATTAAGTCTACTGCTTCTCTTGCTGTTTCAGAGCACCCTCCACCCTTCTTTGCCAGCAGAGTCCATCAGGACCAGGTGCTGTCTCCAAAGCAGGGAAGGGGTGAGCCAAAGGCTGGCAGCTTCTCCCGTGCCTGCCAAGTCAATGAGCTGCCTGCCAGCACACGTGTCCTGGATGCAGGACCAGCGGGGGCTCAGCTTGGGATGGTGGTGGTTATAAATGGCCTTTGGGGACGGATGGTGGGAGGAGGAGTGCAAACTTGAGGTCTGGCTCCAGGGAAGGCTTTGGTGCAGGGAGAGAAACAGGAGGAGCTGCCAGCCCACAAATACCTTTCCTTCCCCTGGGAGGGATGTGCAGCGAGAGTATCATCACTCCTCCAGCAGTACGAGACTTTTGCAGGGGAATGGTTTTTTTGTATATGGGGGGCATTTGGCAAGAAAAAGAGAAGTCAGGGTAGGGAGGATTTGATTTTCACTGGTTCTCTGGCCTACCACCACCAGGCTTGCCTGAGCAAAACGTTGAGCGGGAAGAACCGTGCATCTGGCCACCCTGTAACATCTCATTGCCCTCTTGTATTGCCCTTGTCGCAGTAAGCAGCACTGTGTAAAGGGGAGATTAGAGTCATCCTGAAGGTGAGTTTTGGAGCCTTAGAATCCTGTCTGGTCTTACTATCACTTTTATTTGCATTGGAAACCCTTCCATTGATGCATGTTTTTCTGTATGTACAGATGTGTGCACATGCCAAACTCATTCCTCTTGCTCATTTAAGTAGGGCCCCTCCTGGGTTGAAATAATGTAGCAAGCTCACTCCAATTGAGATACACAGTGATGCTGCCTCATGGGAAGGCGAGTAACCGCAATCCCAGAGAAAATGTCAGCATTGCAGGAGTTGCAGCCTGTCCAAAATACCAAAATTACCTGATTCCAACTTCCACAGCTGAACTGGTAGTGGTCAGGACACTGGATCTGTCTCTGGCAGGAAAACCACTCTCTTCCCCTTTAAAGGTGACACAGGAGGACTGACTCTTTGTGAAAAACTTGGAAGTGCCCCACTGCTTGGGTTTCCTCTCTCCTTGTTTTGACACAGCATGTTAATCCTGCTCAATGTAGGAAATACACCCTGATCACAGCCTGGAGGCTGGTTTGGGTGGCAGAGCAGTCTTTAATCTCAGGAAGGGAGAGAGTATTACTCCATCTCCAGTGGGGCAGCTGTCATTCAAGGGCTGTATGTAGCTCCAGGACTTCCAAAGGGATTCATCTGGCTCTGTATCCATATGACCTCTAATGAGTCACTCACAAATGGGAGTGATAAACTGCCCATGATGTAGCCACTGTCTGATTTGTGCATGTGTGTTTGACATGGGCAGAGCTGCATCCCAAATTCCCAGCTGCATCTGGCAGTGGTGAGATGGCAAAGAGGCCCTGAACATTGGCTTGGAGGGAAGGCAGGGAAATGCTGATGAGGTTGCTTCTCTCATTCCTTTGCTCAGTTGTATTGTTAATTACGAATCTTTGTACATGGTGGTTTGGAATTGTCATGCCCTCATCAGTGTGGATGCTCTGAATACAGTAATAAGTCATTCCTCCTGCCTGTCCCTGCTAACCTTTCTCCTCTGTGTTGTTAATGGAAAAGAAGCTTGGCTCAGCCACTGCATGATAACAGCCTGCAAGGGAGCCAGCTCAGAGGAGGCAATGGGGAACAAGTGGGAATAACAGATGGAAAAGGTGGTACAAGGACTTGCATGGGTGCTCAGAATTGAAAACCTGGTGAAAGTGAGAACAGAGGTGCTGGATGGTAGGAAGGATGTGCTTGCCACTTCTGTCACAGGGGTTAAAAGATTATGAGCAGCGTCTAAAAACCAGTTAGGAGACAGAATACCTGTTTCTTTCCAATAGCTGCAGGCCTTTGGGGTAATGAATTCCAAGAGTCTCTGTGCTATCCTCTAAGGGACCCTATGTCTGCTTTCTAAACCTCTGCACTTGCTGCTCTTTGTTCTGACAAATACCAAGCCTTGAAGAACAAGCAAAGCTTTGGATCAAAGTGCATGCTGGAAGCAGGGGGCTGACAGAGCAGGCAGAGTTCACCAGGCCTTAATCAGGGGTGATGTGGCACTGCAGTACAAGGTGGAAAGGTTGCCTGGATCTAGCAGATAAGTGTTGTGAAGAGCACTGGAAATCATGGATTTGGCACTGTGTGGGGGGCCTTGGGCTGAAACTGTCTTCTCTGTGAGGGTGGTGAGGTCCTGGCACAGGGTGCCCAGAGAAGCTGTGACTGCCCCATCCCTGGCAGTGTTCAAGGCCAGGTTGGATGGGACTTGGAGTAATCTGGTCTAGTGGAAGGTGTCCCTGCGCATGGCAGGGGGTTGGAACTGGATGAGCTTTAAGGTCCCTTAAAGACCTGATTATATGATTCTATCATCAGGGCTGGAGCATGCCAAGGCAGAGCAGTGTCAGCAGAGGTGTGTGTGGGCTGCGTGATCCTGAAGTGAAGGGAACAAGTATCTGGGAGGGTAACCTACATCCAGGACACAAGGAGACAAGGTCTGTGCCATGGACAGACACATCCTTTCCTGATGCTGATTGTGCCTTTCTGTATTGTGTTGTGTCTTAGGGCTCTTGTGCTCCTTTTAAACCTTGTAGCACAGACATTCCAGACACTTGAGCATGCCAACAGGGTGAAAGGAAGAAAGTGCTCACTGGGTGACTGTTGAGCAGTCCTTGGGCAAGATCTCTTTCCTAAGAGTGTCACTGTAGCACCCTCCAAAACCAGGCCTTGGAGTTAATTTCATTCCCTTCACTTTGACAAGCATTAAACAGCACTTCCACTGTGTTACTTAATGGACAACTTGGCTTTCCCTTTTCCCAGCACAAGGCCACCATTAAGTGCACCCAGCCAGTAAAATGATGTTCTTCAGCAAAAGCGTGGTGAGACCTGTTCTATTCTTTCTGTGCCCACCTGCACTCTCTTGACCATTCTGCTTAGTGGAATAACTTTTGCAACCTGTCTTCAAGGTGCTTCCTCTGCCCTGGCATGGGATAGCTCCACATGATCCAGTAAAGGGTGCTTAATATTTAAGCTGACTTCTAGCTTTCATTACAACTCCCTGTTTGAATGAGTGACTGTTCTGTATGGATTTGACATGTATTTGCTGGTGTCAGTCTGAAGGAGCCTATGCAATGATTGACATGCCACAAGGCTGGACCAGCGTGTGCCTGTATGGGAGAGACCATGCTTGGACCAACAGAGCTGAACCTGGAGTTGGCAGGACTGTGTGAGGGACTGCGAGGCCAGGGTGGCTGTGTTGTGTCAGGATGGACCCGTGCCACTCCAAAGCAAAGAGATCCATTAAGGTGCTCAGGCTGGCTCAAAAAAGGTTGGCACTATCACCTGAGATGGTGCAGCACCATGCCAAGGTGTCTCAGGGGCTACAGGGATGATTTAAAGAGTGATTTATCATTTGTCAGAGCCAACAGTCCTGCAGCCCCTGCCCTGTTCTGAGCTCACTGTGCTGTGCTCTTGCTGCTGACTCCTCATGTGGGTTTTGTTTCTCTTTCTCCCATCCTTTCCAGGAGTTCTCACTTGTGGCTGGCATGGCAGAGTACGTCCCGCAGCCTCCCTCCACGTGGCCTGCAGGCCCACAGCCCCCTCACGCCTCTGCCATCTGCCCACTGGAGCCCATGGATCTGGGGGTCTTGGAGCAGCAAACGCTACCAGAGCAGCCACCATCCTCCCCGGAGCTGGGTGAGGACGAAGAAGTCACATCCCCACCGGACCCTGATGTTCCCTACCCCGACTTGGCCCCGGTTGTCTTCTTCTGCTTGAAGCAGACCACCAGCCCACGGAACTGGTGCATCAAAATGGTGTGCAACCCATATCCTTTCCAAGCTGCCCCTTGTTTTGCTCCCTTCCACCCCATCCCTCCCTCTCTGTGCCCTCCTAGGCCACCTGGCAGGTAAGAAATGACATTTCCTACATGTTTAATGACCTGATTTGTTCCTTGCTTGTGTTTAAGCAGAACCTCAGCTGGTTTAGTGTGTGGTCAAAAGTAGCTGATTATGAAAGAGGGGACTTCAGAGGGAGTTTCTGACAGCCCCAGTCACAGGGGGCTGGGTGAGGGCACGGGGGAAGCGAGGCATTTGAGAAAGGCCTGTTCTCCCTGTTCCTGGCTTCATTTTCACCTCTGCCCTGGGACAGAGCGTGAGTTGCTAGCCAGGAGTTGGTGCCTGAAAAGTAGGCTGCCACCGATGGCAGAGGTGTCTCCTCCCTCTGAGTGTAGAGGCTTTGGTGCGAGCTCATCTTGCCCTCGGTGAGGGAACCACTGCTCCTAGACCTTGATTGCAAGGATACCTAGGTGACCCCTTGCCTTTTCATCTAGGACAAGTCACTGTCCTACCCATGTCTTGCATGATGCCAGGCCAGGAACAAATGGCAGAATCTGTTCCAAGTTTGATTCTGAGCCCCATATGCCCTGGGGGAGATCTCTGGAACATGAGCATGTCCTTCCTTTGCACAGGAGGTCAGCAATCACACACATGTGTCACTGTTCACACTCAGTGCATTGATTGCAAGGAGGCCCCTGCAACCCATCAGTGCAAATGATGATCACCTGCACAACTCAGCACTGAGGCTGCCAGGAAGCGAAGGCTTCTGTGGCTCTTCAACCTGATGCAATATAAAAAACAGGTGGAGGGAATTTATTGTTCTTTGGACTGTGGGACTCTGCATGGTGGGGAGGAAGTGGCGAAGATGAATTACCAGAAAGGTTGGTTTGGAGTTTTACTTGAACCTTTTCTTCTGGCCAGAAATATCAAGTGATAGCACTTTTTCCCTAGAAGTTTCTTGGTTCCTAGTTAGGTGGGTATTATCTATGAGGTTGCTTGTTACAGACTTGATGCATTGGCTTATAGAATATATCTGAGTGTCTGGGCACACAGCAGAGACTTGCAAAATGTTTCCAAGAGCCTTTTCAGTCTCAAAAGCCCAACCCTGGGTGAAGTCTCAAGGTGCTGTCAGCAATAACAAATGACCTCAGATGGTTGAACACTTGTTTCAATTTCAAATGTAGGAAAAGAACTCTGAGCAATTGTCTTAAAGTTCAGAAGCCCTTATAAAGGTGTTGTAGTCTTGAACACAATTTATGTCTGAGAACTTATTGGACGTTTAGGGTTTCTGCTTTCCTTTCTACTAGCTGCTCCTTAAAGTTTAAAAACATCACATTGAATTATACATTGCTTTTCAATCGCTGTGTGTCTGCACTAGTTATCATGGCCCAGGAATCTCATCCCAGCATGTGGTGGACTCAATATAAAGCATGAGAGATTTGTGTCTCAATGAAAAGGCTGGATTCGGAAAATAAGAGAACAGTGATGGCCTGGGTTTGGAATGATGATTTGCTCTTGAATAGGGGAAGAAGAGAAGAGCTCATCTGTCTTCCTGGCTAAAAAGTCAGTCAAAACATTCCCTCCAATTTGGTACATAGCAGGGAGTTTGCTTTAAGTTGTTGGAGATATGTTATTCAGAGTTGAGCACTATATGGGCATTTTAGTGTTTAAAAGTTATTTTTGTTTTAATCTTCAAAAATGTGTGGTGTTTGACTCTGAAAAGGACCTTTTCATAGCAGAAACTATAGAAAGAAGGAAAAAACCTCATTCAATCACCTGTTAATGGTATTACACCTGGCTACGTGTGATACCAGAGGGTGAAGGGCAATGGTGGGGATGCTGGAAACCTTTTGAAAGGGTTGTTTCAGACGTGTGATTTCAGCTCAGCTGTGTCAAGTTAGGAGATGTGTAGCTTCGGAGCAGATGCCTTCAGCACCAGAGTGTTGGGAAAGCAGTGTCCAGAAGTCTCGTTCCAGAGCGGCAAGAGCCAGGAAGGTAGCCCCAAGCCCTTGCCAGGGCTTGTCCAGGAGCTAGGAGTGATGACCACCACCTCTGAATGGACAAAACTCTGCCCTGGGAGTGCAGTGACCAGAGCATATCATGGTAATCTGTGCAGGAAGGGCCCAGAAGCCCAGCAAGCTTAAAAGGTAAGCTCAGGCAGTGGTCATCAAGAAGGTGCTCAAGGATGAGTTCCACCCAAGAGTGCTGAAGAAGCTGGCAGAGGAGCTTGCCAAGCAATGCTCCATGAGAAGGCCTTGGTGGGACCTTCTCGCTCTCTACAACTACCTGAAAGGAGGATGGAGTAAGGAGGTGTCTGGTCTCTTATCCCAAGTAACAAGTGATAGGATGAGAGGAAATGGCCTCAAGCTGCTCTGGGGGAGGTTTAGGTAAAATTTCTCTACTTGAAAGGGTGATCAGGCATTGGAACAGGCTGCCCAGGGTGGTGGTGAAATCACTGTCTCTGAAGTGTTAAAAAACTGTGGATGAGGCCCTTAGTGACATGGTTTAGAGTCAGCCTTGGCAGTTCTGGGGTGAAGCTTTGACTTGATCTTAAAGGTCTTTTCCAACCCAATTGATTCTATGTTTTTCTGATTTTGAGTGGATCGTGGAGTAAGCAGTTCCCATAACTTTTTTTCATAGCCTGGTGTCAGAACACTTACTGTGGTCTTGTTCCTGGCTGGGAAGGAACCCCCTTTGTAAGGGATGCTTCTATGAAAGTCTTCTAAGAATTTACACAGCTGGCTGTTTGGTTTAGTTTGATTTTTTTTGGTTTTTTCCTTTTCTCTCCTGACTCAAGTTTTTAATCTTTGTTATATTGAGCTATTTGGTTTCTTAATGCACCATCTAAAGCAGGGGCTGAGTCACTGTCTCAGGGCAATGCCTGTCCTTTCCTGAAGATTCAGCAAAAAAGATGGTGCATTAATTAAAAGCCTGTTAATCCTTCTCATTGACTTTCTACTAGGACAGAGTTTCATAATCATTGTTATGGAAGTACTGTCAATGAGACTTAAAATGGAAGCTCTGATCGTTAAGGACTATGTAGCAATTTTTGTAAGCACAAGGTCATTAACCACTGCATTTCAATTTAGGTAATTGCATTCTACCTACTTAAATCCCCCTCCCCTGAAGATTATTTTTCCTTCCATGAGCAGTCCTGCAATTCTGTTATGTGCTATTAAACAACTGCTATATTCTTTTGCTGCAGTGCAGTACGAGGAGAAAGAACCACTTACATCCCTGCTTTAGAATCACTCTTGGATGCATATGAGCGTATAAATGTGTAATGCTGTTTCTGCAAAAATTGTAGACTCTAAGTCCCTTTTAAGGTAGGGACTATGTCCCATGTGAACCTTGTGGTGTTTGTCCTCAAAGGGAGTATTTAACTGTGCTTTTTACCATGGTGCTGTGTGGTGAAAAGCAGTCTGATACTTTAAAGTTAGGTGATAACATATTTCTGGGGTGGCTTTAGATACAGTGCAAATGAATGCTTGAATTGCCCTAATTTATTGAGGAGCAGATTGTTTTAAAAATCCTGATTAACCTTCTTAGATCCAGGTAACTGCTGTGTATGCAGTACATTGCACACCTGGAGCCTGGCTTGGCTCCTGCTAAGTGTGCTTATCCAAAAGGAGTCTGGCATGATGCAGCATGTAAGCAATCTGCCAAGCAGTTTGTTGAGGCTGATCTCTATTTTGATTAACAGGCAGAAGGTTTGACCACTCTGAGTTGTAGATCATGGGGCTGTTACAGCTACAATGCTAACGGGGTCAATATTTGAGATACGGTTATGAGAGAGGCTGTAAGATTGTTGTGGGACTTTTCCTTTTATAAAACCTAACCTCCATGTCAGTTAGGATTTCAAGTTTAGGTTGGAGGAGAAATGGGGTGAAAAGTGTGAAAACATGTTTCTAGAACTGTGTAGCATTCATCTTATGAATTTATGAAGTGCTTGGGACTCAATAATGGGCATGCCACATGGCACCATTACAAATGGATCCTTATGCACTTGGCAAATTATGAGAAGATTATGAGGTGCTTGGATGTCTGCATTGCTCTTTGACTCCTTGGAGTTCCATAAAGACTTTACACTTCATCCATCCCTAGGATCAAACACAATAGATTTGGTTTGTCCTTTGGGCGTTTCCTTAACAGAAATTCTTGCCATTCCAGGAGGCCCAGATCTCCCTTTGCTGTCATATCTATAATATTGACATGACAGTGAGAGCAAAAGTGAAGTGTGCTATTAAAAAAAAATCAATGCTAAAACTATAGCAGTAATGAGGTAGTCTCTGCAGATCACAGCTCTGCAGTTCACCGCTCTGTCATTTTCTTGCTTTTTGTTATATACCAGCCCCTTCCAACATTTGTGAAGTATGTTAGCCACTTGTGCTTCTGTTTTTGCTCTCAGGCAGCAAAGTGTTGTGTTTCCAGTTGATTTCAGTGATGCAGGAGCATTGGGTCAGGTCCCAGTTGTGCGATAGCTTACAGGTGCATTTAATTTTTACTACCAGGAATTGTGTTTTATAGGGTGTAGAGCAGGGTGGCTTCTGAAATCTTGAAGCCAGTTTGACTGTTCATATGTACTGAGGAGCTGCCTTGTAGCTCCTACGCTTTAAAGATCCTCCAAGTAGGGGCTTTGGCGTTGTACTTGATCCTGAAAGTCCTGTTTCTGGGGGTAACTTTCCTGTAACTTGTACTTGCAGTGTATCAGATTGGTCGATGTGCTTGGTGCATAAGGAAACAGGACTGGCCTTGGGCATATTGATGGGAAACTGAGAAAACCCACAGATTTATTCCCCACCTCTTCCCTGTCTGGTGCTGCAGATATGATTTGTGTACAAGCCAACTGTGTATAGAATGCTGGCAATGGGAATAGTGGTGTTTCGTGCTGGCATTACCGGTGGGAGCAGAATGGGGAATCAAATGCTGGACAAGCAAAGAAAATCATGTGTGTGTGGACTGGTAATTGATACTTGGTGACGCTGAGCAA